TGTCGGTATAGAAATGATTTAAAAAAGAATCGTGATAAACAGCGCAGACGATATAAACAGAATTTCGAAAATACTTGCAATAAACAATGGCAACAGTGTTGTGTGAAAAAAACAGAACAATACAAAAAAATTGTCTACATATTCAAAGATCTGATTCAAAACAAAACAACTGTGTGATGGCTAGACAAATTATAATGAAATATAATAGAATCCATACATCAAATAATTTTATAAAAATTCGTGGGTCTAAAGAAAACTTTATTGCAAATATCTCAGAAAAACTTAAAATTAAAGGGAATATCAATAAACAAATAGAAGCAGAAAAAATTGTACGTTGGTGTATTGTTGTTAGAAACAGTAACATTCGTGATATTTCTAAAATATTATCTTTGCTTAAAAAAAAGTCAGAAATATGTTTGACTGTTGTTGCGGAATGTACTACACTTGATGAAAAATTACATGCATTGTGTGGAATATCCAGACATACAGCTTTGTCTGAAAATTATTTTCTTGATTCTATTTATCATCAAAATTTAGCAGAATCTTTGATAATGAATATGGAAGGACAAATTGTTAATGTGTTGCCTTTAATACAAGGACAAGCAAAAATGTCGTGGTTGTGTAATAATTCATGCAAAACTGACGATCCATTTCTGATTAGTTATTATGAGAAACTTCTTCAAACAATAAATATATGTACTTTAATGAATGTACCAAAACTGATGCAAACTATTTTTAATTGTACTGTAAAAACTTCAAATAAAAAGTTAGGACGTGCGCACAGTTGCTATATTACACAGTTGCTTCAAGTTTTTGTAAAACAATGTGTATTCCACTTCAATTATTATCACCTCATTTTCCAAGAGTGAGAAATATGAGACGTTTGATTTATCAACTTCAGAATGTTTATCAGAAGCTTGTAAATCTAGACAGAGCTTTAACTTGTGCTGATTTAGACACATTAAAGGATATTACTATTTTGAAACAAGAAAAAGCGGATATATATAAACAGCAACATTGTAATACTTTGAGTGATGACGATATCATTGCTAAGAATCAAAATGCATTTAAAGCTTTGACTACACGCTGTATAGATATACCACGATACGTTTGTGTATCATGTGAAAGANTTTGTTACAAAAGAAATATTTCTAAACTAATTAATAAAGAAATTTAAGGCTCCGAAGTAATAACTAAGAAATAAATAAGGTCAAACGAGCCACTTTGCAGGATGTTATGTTGAAATGTTCTATTATATATATACATATATATATATGGTCACATGTAAATTTTTACACGTGTTTTTTTTAATTGAAATTTCAATTCTTAAAATCATACAGTATGCTATACTTGCATCTCATGTATGAAAGACCCCGAATACCACCCAGAACTAATTTTAAAACATTGCGAAAAAATACTCCTCAGCCAGAAGTCGAACCTGGAATCTCCGGCTTTCCGGGCCGTCGCCTTCCCTGTTAGGCTACCGAGGCACTTGGAGACATTTTTCGCAACACTCGTACATATTTCAAAGATGGACATTGATAAACTAATAACGCATTTGACACCAGCGTGAATCAACGATTAATAAAGAAATTTAAGGCTTTGAAGTAATAACTAAAAAATGAATAAGGTCAAACGAGCCACTTTGCAAGATGTTATGCTGAAATGTTCTATTATTCATATGTATATATGTTCTTATATATATGTTCACATGTAAATTTTTACATGTGTTTTGTTTTAATTGAAATTTTAATTCTTAAAATCATACAGTATGCTATACTTGCATCTTTACGTATGAAAGCTGAGGAGTATTTTTTCGCAATATTTTAAAATTAGTTCGGGGGGTATTCGGGGTCTTTCATACATGAGATGCAAGTATAGCATACTGTATGATTTTAA